CCGGGGCCGGGGCGGGGACCCAGCTGCCTGCCTCCGCCCCGCGCTGCACCAGGGCCCGGCAGTGCTCCCGGGAGCGGGCGGGAGTGAGGCGGGGCTGTGGGCGCCACCCCCTGGCCCCACCCCCGGCCGGTTGCAGCTCGCTTAGGAAGCAGGTTGTTGCTTGGAAGGGCTCGCGTCGCTGCCGGCAGACGAGGCTCTTTGGGGAAATCCTGGATATTTGATTAACCCCGCTCCAAGCGGTGCAAAAACTCTTCCTAGCATCCGGGAAGAGCACAGCGGGGGTGCAAGGGGGTGCTGTGTCGCCTGAGCGTGGCGGTGCACCCCCTGCGAAAAGGCACGGGTGGCGCCTGTGGGTGGTCGGCAGTTGCCACTCCCGCTCCTTGCCGTTGGCACCGCCAGCGGCGTCTACGGACAGTCAGTGATCGCCGCTGGATGGTGCCGATGCTGCTGGTGGCATCTGTGGGTGCTTGCCACCCCCCTTCCTCCCACCGCCAACAGTGCCGTGGCCGTTGGCGGGAGCTCACTGCTCGCTGCTGCCCCGCCCCCGCCGCCAACAGTGCCGCCACCACCGGCGGGAGCTTGCCGTGCTGCCCGCAGCCTCCGAGGGCACACCGCGTTCATGGCACGGACCATCTGCAGATGCTTCCTCTGCCCGATGAAGGGCGTTTGTGCCTGAAAACTTGCAAGGAAGACTTTTTCCAGCTATTCGAGTTGGTCTAATAAGGGATACCAGATTTCCCGAAAGATCCTCGGCTGCTTCTGTCCATAGACCAGCAGGGCTACAACCTACACCCCTAAACATGTCGCTCTGAAGCAGTTTGTCCCTTCAGGCGGCGTTTCTCCACCCAGGGGCTGCATCCTGAAAATGGGTCTCGAGAGACTCTGAAAGGACACGAACGCACTTTAAAGGAGAATCCATTTTTAAAGTTTGTTGATCCATTTTTAAAGGAGAAAAACGTGGGGAACTGTGGCTTTTCCCTGGTGGGCTTTTTCCCTTTCCACGTGCTGGGGCAGTGGGTGGTGCGCACTGCGGGACTGGGCGTGAGGGGCACTGGGTGGAGACTGGCCATGACTGTTTACAAATGGGTCCTGGGACAAAAAAGGTTGAAAACCACTGCCTTAAGGTGCCCCCACCCTGCCTTCGGCTTCTCGCTACTTCGGGGCTGCGTGCAACGACGGCTTGCATCGTACGGTCTCTGTACCGTGACACCAGGCGCCTGAGGCCTGCTCTGCAAATATTATCTTAGCTCTGGAGTCCCTCTGACACAAAGCTGGGTGCTGGCAAGGCAAGAGGGCAGTCAAGTCTGAGGGCAATGAAAGTGCCTCCCACCCCACACTTCCTCTTTAACAAGACTTCGCTATGTGCCAAACCTTTGGGGCCAAATACCTGCGTACTAA